CTGGTTCAAAGAATCAATCTAGTACCGCAGGATAAACAATCAAGGATGAATTATAGCCATAACACGATGTAACCCCCCCTTGAGCGTATACAAACAACTATGTCTCTCATGATAGCAGTCATTACTATATTATTTTGCTATTATTTCACTGTATACATGGCTCTGCTCCGCAGTATAACATCGGCTTGATTAAGCATTACTTTCCTTCTAGACAGCTACGTTCTCAAAACTCTGGCTTACTTGTTACTCCTAGGGTTAAAACAAAGTGGGGGGGGGGGGGAGCGAACCTTCGCTCATGCTGGGCCTTCATTATGGAATACTCTCCCTCAATGGATTAAGAATAGCAGTTCTGCTGAAGTGTTAAAAAACAATCTTAAGAAATATCTGTTCAATAATATTTAGCTTATTGATTACGATAACCTTTCATGTCTGTACCTGTTTCCTTTATAGGAAAGGTACAGACATGAAAGGTTATGGTCAAGGGTGTCGATTTGTATCCGTGGTTGGGGGGGGGGGATGATAGGTGCAAAAATATTTTCGGCAATGGATCAAAGCAATCAAGAGGTAGAAGCGTGTGGCAAGTTGCACCCCTCCCAAGCGCGTAGCCAGGATTTCATTTTAGGGGGCGGTAGTGAGCACGCGAAGCGCGGTCCCTAGGGGGTTGCGTGCAGGGAGGGGGAGTCCCCCCCCCCCCGGAAGTGCGGAAGCTTTGACGTTTCACTAAATTATTAGAGAAAGAAGACGATTCGTTGGACAGTTCTCGACTCTTAATCCTTGTTTGAATCAAGTTCCCCTTCCTCCGCGCGTAGCGCGGAAGCTCTGACGTTTCTTTAGATTATTTTAAAGACAGAAGACGATTCGATGTACCATTCTCGTCTCTTAATCCTTGTCTGAATTCATTTTCGCCCATTTCTGCGCGAAGCGCGGAAGCTTTCACATTAGAGAAAGAAGACGATTTGTTGTATCGTGTCCTTCATGAATTCAGTTTCTCCCCTACCGCGCGAAACGCGGAAGCTTTGACGTTTCACTAAATTATAAGAGAAAGAAGACGATTCGCATATGGAAACGTTGTATCATCCGCTCAATCTGACTTGCGTGCATAGAACAAATGAGCATTTTTCCATGAAAAAGTGAAGTTATCTAAAATGTGCGTTTCTTTCCAGCATTGGGGCGCCCGGAAATCACTCCGGTAACATTTCATAAAGTATAATATAAAAAGACCATATGCAAATTTTCTGTACTTTCGTCGGAAAAAATACTTTTATCCAGCACAATGTCGTCTCTTTTTGCGTTGGAGAAGAGCAAATAGCGAGTTTCAATCACACTTTGGCCGCTCTCGCAAGCTCTCACTCGTTTCACTGTGGTCAAGCGACTTTGGGGCAAGCGGTTAATGAAAATACTAATCGTTAGCTTTATTCTGGTATTAAACTTGTTTTGATTGATTGTATAATTTTGTCAGAATAAAGGAAACAAAAAGGCTCGACCAAAAACTTATCAGCGTCTGAATTGACCTTTTGACCTTGAATTCCCTGATGCAAGCGCACAAATGACGTCATCTTCGCTCAATCGGTGTCTTTTATCGTAAAATGCGACACTTTCAAAATGTTCATACATCTCTTTTTAATTATTAGTAAGATATAACATTTTTTTTCTGATATCACTGAAGTTTTGGGTTTTATTTAATGATTAATTTCAAAATAAGAGCCATTTTACTGTTTTAATTTACTGGATCGTACCATTAAAGTCGTAGGGTAAAAAGATGCATTTTCCAACCGCGCCAAATTTAATTTACGTTCCGACATTCTGTTAAATGGGTTCGTGTTGTTAAGAATCCACTGCTTTCTGCTCCAACAAACGTCCACATGCGGAGTCGTTTATCAACTAAATTATTCAAATTTATCGATGCTTCCTAGCTTCCCAGGTGTTTGTGTTGCTGTTGAAGCATTTCATTCACCTGCTATCATTCTTTGTACTCCAATTGCCAGAACGCAAATTTCATTTTGGTCTTATAGTTTTATCAGAGTCGTTTATCAACTATAATTATGTATTCAAATTTATGAATGCTTCCTCCCCAGGTGTTTGTGGTGTTTATGCATTTCATTCACCTGTTATTATTCTTTGAACTCCTATTGTAAGAATACAAAATGCATTTTGGTTTTATAGTTTCATGCAATAAGTAAGTCAATAAAAGAGGATGTTCTGCACAATAAAAACAATGTGTGTCCCTATTGTACAATGTAATGAGTCCCCTCATTTTGTAATAGTTAATTTACCCATTCACATAATGGAACTACCTGCCCGATGAAGCCAGTGGCCTGTGACCCCTGAGCACTCAACACCGTGTGGGAGTCAGTTTGTTCTAAAATTCTTTTACGAGACAAATACAAGCAAACGTTTCCATATGTGGACCGTTCTCGACTCTAAATCCTTGTTTGAATCAAGTTCCCCTTCCTACGCGCGTAGCGCGGAAGCTCTGACGTTTCATCAGATTATTAAAGAAAGAAGACGATTCGATGTACCATTCTCGACTCTTAATCCTTAATGTTTGAATCAAGTTCCCCTTCCTACGCGCGTAGCGCGGAAGCTCTGACGTTTCATCAGATTATTAAAGAAAGAAGACGATTCGATGTACCATTCTCGACTCTTAATCCTTAATGTTTGAATCAAATTCCCCCTTCCCCGCGCGTAGCGAGGAAGCTCTGGTGTTTCATTAGATGATTAAAGAAAGAAGACGATCCTATGTAGGCCTACCATTCTCGTCTCTTAATCCTTGTCTGAATTTATTTTCGCCCATTCCTGCACGAAGCGCGGAAGCTTTCACATTAGTGAAATAAGACGATTTGTTGTATCGTGTCCTTCATGAACTCAGTTTCTCCCCGGAAGCTTTAACGTTTCAATAAATTATTACTCTTAATCCTTGTCTGTATTCATTTCGCCCATTCCGCGCTTAGCGCGGAAGCTTTTACGTTTCATTAAATTATTCGTAAAAGAAGACGCTTCGTTGTATCGTGTACTTTGACGTTTCATTTGATTATTACGCTTAATCCACGTCTGAATTCAGTTGCCCCCTAACAGCTTTGCCCTTTTCACTGAATTATTAGAGAAAGAAGACGATTCGTTGTACTGTTCTCTATATTAATCCTTGTCTGAATTCAGTTTCCCCACTGAAAATAATTTGTGTTACAAATAAATTGTAACATAATAATCTTTCTCCAAAAATGAAAAACGTTTAGGAAATATCAGGAAATAAAATGAGTGAAAAAAACAAAAATAAAGATACAATGACGTGAATTTTAAAAAGGGTGAACGGAAACTACATAACAACTAGAGAACTATTTTATAAGTCATACTAATGTCCGAAAATCTTTCACCTTGTCTCCGATCTCATCACGAAATCGTCACAGAGTTCATCTATGTTTACACTGTCCAGGATTGTCTGATGTGCATTGCAGATTGCTATTTTTGCGCTTCGCGCTTAACATTTAGCTCGTTGCTTTTTGACGCTGCGTCTTTGCATTTGGCGCATTGCATTTCTATGATGCTGTTGATTGAACAAATTGAATAAATTCATCAATTCCTGATGAAGCCGTATGAGCGAAAATTCAATTTATTCTTGTCTCTTATACGGTTGTCTTATTTACTTCGTATATACATGTATGTATGTATTATGAAAATGAGATAGCAAAATGTGTATATTGATGGTCATCTTGCGAGTAATAACCATTAACTACTCTCATCGGGCTCTCATCCTTAATTTTTCTCTTAATTTTTTTTTTTTTGATGGTGAATTATTGGGGGGGGGGGGGATGATTGTACAGGCCATCCCCCACCTTAAATATTGGGGGATATAACCCCCACCCCCCCCCCGGGATCGACACCCATGGTTATGGTAATCAATAAGCTAAATATTATTGAACAGATATTTCTTTAAATTGTTTTTTAGCACTTTGTATAAATGTATCATGTAACTCTCTAAAAAAAATCGAGTGATCACGGACGTCACTCCTCTGGAGAGTGAAAATGTAGTGAAAATAGAGTGAAAATTCACTCTTTTCTTCTTAGAGAGCACTCTAAAATCAATCGATTTTCACTCCTAAACAAGTGATCACGGACGTCACTCCCAAGAAAGTGAAAATAGAGTGAAAATTCACTCTTTTTTTTTTAAAGAGAGTATGTATTTCATCTTTTGCACAAGCTGCGCCTTGAGCATTTGACTGTCAAGTGGATTTGGCGCCTTATAAATCTTATGTATGTATTATTATTATTATTATAATATAATATGTGTTCTCAACCGTCTTGACCGTCAAGATGAGCAATTCAATGGATTGTCGGTGAACTTGTACTTATGACGGTTTCGTGAAACGCTGCTCTGATACTAAGTGTTGAATGAAGTAGTGAACGAAATTAAATTCACACCCCAATGAAATTTTCGTTACTTGTTACGCTTTCATAATATGTTTGTTCACACAATCCAGTTTAATATACTCAAGAATTGCTCGAAATGCACTTCACGTCAATCAATATAATTATGTACAGGACAAATCTAACTACACCAAAGCGATATGAAAGCACCTCTACTAATTAAAGCTCTTTTTATGTAAAATAATGTAAAATAGTCAATAGAAAAAAAATCATGTTTAGTGTACCCGCCCGCTTCCATTTTTGGGGCCGCCTCGTATTTTTTTCTTCATTGAATAAAAACATGAAAAACATAGGTCTACTGCTAAAAGCATCAATTTCTGATTTAACAAAACAAAACAAAAATTCTGGCGTCCATCTTGAAAAATAGCCTGACTTATAGGGCAAATGTACCGAGCGGCATTTTGGTGAAAAAAAGGGGAAAACAAGGGCCTCCTTCTTCCCATTAAAAAAAAAAGGCAGGACGCTAAACATGTTTTTTTTGTTAATGGCCATGAATAGCTAGAAGTAATGAAGTGTATTTCCCTCACTCATAGTATCCTCTTTTGAGGATACCGTAGATATTCTGCATGCACTATTCATTCGTTTAATTCAACCATTACGTGTGTAGGCAGTGCGGGTTGTGTAACTCCATTGCCCCGCGACAAAACGGCCGATTTATTACCAGAAGACTCAAGGTTCGAGCCCATTTCTACTTTAGCGTCGAAACAGTTTGATCCGAGGGACCGGAGGGTATAATTTTTCATCACTCTTAGGCAACAGTGGTTTTAGTAGAGGTTTATATTCGTGTTGATTTGTCGGTAAGTTTCACATAGAGAATTCCATGCAAAAACTGAAGTAAGCCTCTATTTTTTAAATTCCTGTGTGTAATACTCTATGGCATGAGGCAGCTAAATTAATCCTCAACCTTTCAAACAAATGTTCATTAATAATACCTTATTTTTCGATAACAGAAGATTGGGTAATTTTATACTGAAAGTATCTAGGCTACAGACTACAGTTTGGCTTAACTTTTAGTTGCATTGTTCCAAGCTTTTAAATGAATAAATCATGTTCATTTGTTAAATTAAAAAGATAGAGGTCTAGATCTAGTCGTTCACATCCATCCAATTTCATTCGATTTTGCATGCATTTTGATTGACACTTCATGATGCATGGCTGATCATCAACGAAACAGAGTTAAGTCTTTTGTCAATTCTGTTTGTTGCTATGTCAGGTAGCCAGTGAAAATGAATTTGTTTAATCAAATTATGGAAATGAAAGCATTACTTTAAACATACGGAACTTTGTTCCTGGCCTGGCTCATGTGGCTCATTTTCCTGATTGAGTTGTCATATGAAAGGGCAGAAAATGAACTGTCTAGAAATGTGATTTTTTCTTTGAAATTCAGATACCGCCCGCCAAATGAAATTTTGGTACCCTCCAAATTGTTTTCAATCACTCGTGCATGAAATATGCATCATACAAGTTGCATCAAATGAAAGGGGAGGATTTAAACTGTACAAATATGTGTCATTTATTCATTTTAATTGTGATTAAATAATGATAAAATATCGATAATGCTCGGTTTCGTTTTTTCTTGGATGCACTGTATATATGACAAGCCATTATCTTATGTTATTGTTATTGCTGTTATTGTTGTTATTGTACATCTTTCTGTTCCATTCTCCTCCAGTCACCATGTTGAGGGCACCAGCTTCCAGGGCGTGGTCGGCAACCAGGGCGTTGCTGAAGCCCACGTCCTCCTCCCGTATGGTCTCCACCTCCTCCCCTGCTTTGGAGAAGATCAAGGTCTTTGTGGACGATCAGAGCGTCATGGTAGAGCCAGGAACTACAGTCCTTCAGGTAAACCTTGGCCCCTCCCTCAAGATACATGTAATTCTCCTTGTAATGGTTGGGAGCAAAGTAAGGACCTATGATAAGGGGAGAGAGTAGTAGTTTCTCTTCCCATGCCCCTTAATTTAATTCTGCCCCTACAAAGATGAAAGTGTGTGTGTGTAAAATTTGGTTTTTACAGACGTGTATCAATCAGATATAATTATTTACATCTTGGGACCGACCTTAAACGTCACCATCCGAAAGACGTGACTCAGTTTCGAACCGGGGTCGTCTGAGTCAGTTTGTACGGGAAGACAGAGAACTTTCCAAGTGAACATGTCGCTAGACCAACTTGCATCTCCCTAAAAAGTTAAAAGTTTAGGAACTGGGACTTTTATGCAAACTATGAAACAGAAATCACATTTTGGAATAATTGTCTTTTTATTGTGATCTTGCAGGCTTGTGCTGAGGTTGGAGTCGAGATCCCTAGGTTCTGCTACCACGAGAGGTTATCCGTTGCGGGGAACTGTCGCATGTGTCTTGTAGAGGTGGAGAAATCAGCCAAGGTGAGATTAGAGATTTGCACAAATTTTACACTGTCCCAACCTGTTCCCCGACCCTGAAGAAGGTATCTGAACCACAATGCCTGTCTACTGTGTTAATTTCTAATCAGCCAGTTCACGGTTGCAGTCTGAGCATGAGCAGATAAAGGTCATTGCAGACCAAATTGTGAAATACATGGAGACAAAATACTGGATATGTGTTCATGAAAGTTCATTTATACACAAGCAGTGCACTCCATGATACACAGGTGGAAGTATTCTTTGAAAATGGGAATCAAAAGCTATTTATGTAGCACCTCCATCGCTGTATGAGTGATTGTTTCAAGATATACAAAGTACATTTGGGACTTGTGTTAACTGTGAGCTGGTCTATTGTACAGAAACGGTTGAATTTGTTTTACCTGGTCATTACTTGATGACTTTAAAGATAAACTTGAGTTCTGGTACTGCGATTGCATTGTGAAAGAAAAGGTGTGGAATGGATCAGAAAAGTTATTCATATAGCATGTAAGTAATGGTGTGTAATGCAAGGTTCTGGAGTCATCAAATTCATCATAAATTTGGCAGAGTCTTGGTAAAGTAACAATCACTTACACAGAAAGATGTATATGGGACAACACACATGGTGTCGGGGCTAGTACTACCCTGATTTCCTTATCTTTCTATGCTCATAACTCAGCCAGTATACATTTTCTTCCAAAATTGTTTGGTACATGACATTTATTTGTAATCTTGAACATTCAGTGTAAGTTTCGTTAGATTCTGTGAGAATTCATTTTCTTTTTTTACCAGAACTCAAGTTTATCTTTAAACATAAAAAATGAATTATTGATAATAATGACTATTTTTAAAGCGCCATATCCATTTCACAGAATTGCTCACAGCGCTGAGAGTGTACATGAAATTATATTTTGACAGGTCCTAAACAGAAAATAAAATCATACAGACATTGAAGATATGTCACTTAACTCTAGTCTGTACTTTAACCTCTTTTCATGTTGTATTTAGCCTGTTGCTGCCTGTGCAATGCCAGTCATGAAGGGATGGCGTATCAAGACAGACTCGGAACTTACGAGGAAAGCCAGGGAAGGAGTGATGGAGTTTCTCCTGGTCAATCATCCCCTGGACTGCCCCATCTGTGATCAGGGAGGAGAGTGTGATCTCCAGGTACGAAAATATATCTTTATCTGTCTGTACATCTGTCTGTTTGTCTTCTTGTTGGTTCATCCTTCTGTTTGTCTGTCTTTCTTTCCCCCTTTTCCTCCGTTTCCATTTGCTGTCTGTTCTTTCTCTCTCTCTCTCTTTCTCTTTCTCTCTCTGACCCCGTTCTCACTCACTTCGTTGGAGCGCTCTGGAGCGCTCTAACTAAGACCCGTTCCTCAGGAGCGGTTCTTAGGTGAGTGAGAACGGTCAAAGTAGTCCAGGAAGTGGACTTCTGGACTGCTCCAGAAGACCACCTTCCGAGGTGGTCTTGAGGAGCGGGTCTTATTAAGAGCGGTTTGGAGCGCTCTAAGGTGCAATGTGAACGGAAAGCGTACTTTGAACGGAATTGAGCTAGTGACCTTCGGTGCGAAACATGTAGTATGGTACATACGGTTTGTATTCCGCGCGCGAAAAAATTGATCTGCTGACCTGAGCTGCCATAGCAACAAGACCACTTTGACTCGTGGAGCGGTTTGAGCCATTAAAAACTGCTCGGAGTGTGTACGCTCCCAAACCGTTCCTCAAGACCCGTTCCTCTGGAGCGGTCTAACTAAGACCACTTTCAAAGTGAGTGAGAACGGGGTCTCTGTGACTCTGTCTGCCTGTACATCTGTGTATTTGTCTTCTTGTCTGTTCATCTTATCTTTCTGTCAGTTTGCCTTTGTGTCCCCCTTCCCTCCTTTTCCCCGTACTGTCTGTTCTGTCGTGTGTCTCTCTCTGTCTCTGTCTCTCTATCTCCGTCTGTCTATCTGTGTGTCCGTTTGCATTTCCCTCTCTCCTGTTTCTCTTTATCCATCTGTCTGTGTTTGTGTGCATTCATCTCTGTCACTGTCACTGTCTCTGTTTCTGACTTGTCTGATGTCATCTGTTCCTCTGTCTGTATCGATCTGTCTTCTGAAATCAAGTTCTTCGTTGGTGAAATTTACTTGTGTCGTTGTTTCATCAGACTAGAGAAGTGATTGGGTTGGGGGATAGGTTTAGGGTTAGGGTTGAAGTTAGGTATAGTTTTGGTTCCTTTGGTGAAGTTTGATTCATGAAGGTCATCAAGTGCTTCCCCTTTCAATCCTACAATTATGATACAATATAGGCACTTAAAGTCTCCTTACTTTTCATCTTGTTTACCCCCACCCCTCCCTCCCACCATTTAGTTATTCACGAGGATTTGAAGATTTGTTTATTCTTTGTGAAATTAAGTATGACACGTTGCACAGACTCTCTCTCTCTCTCACTCTCCTAATGCATGTTGTTCATCTTCAAAAAATAATAATAATAAAGATTGATTTATTCAGCACATAATAAACAGAAGTTTCTCTATGCGCTTTGCTTTACAAAGTAAAAAAATAAGCATGTACAAGTATATTTAACTAGTTTCAAGAACCAAACGCAGAAACCTTAAACTAAAGACATGTAAGAGCGAATTTAATACAGGTAGCAAATATTTATGAAAAATCAATTAGAGTAACATATTAAATTATAATACATTTATTAATTAAATGTTGTTTGTAGGACCAGTCCATGGCTTTTGGGAGTGACAGGAGTCGCTTTGTAGACAACCAATTCACAGGGAAGAGGGCAGTGGAAGATAAGAATGTTGGACCACTCATCAAGACCATTATGACACGCTGTATTCATTGCACAAGATGTATCAGGTATGTAGATTAGCTTCGAGGCGGGACTGCACTACCTGTAGCTACTTGCGCCCTCTGTATAGCAAACAATGCCTAAGCGGTACCCGTTGGTCCCCCATGGTCCTCTTTTTCTTATGTTTATTGAGAGCTGATTTGATGAGATAACCACCCTTAGTGACCTTGCAGGGAGGTCTAATCCCTCCTGGCCAAACTAGTGCAGATAAGCTTTAAAGCACAAGGACTAGGGCCTGTCAGGTGTTCAATTCAGTATTTTGATGAAGATAACATTTACTTCGCTTTCATCTTGGATGATGAAATGGCTTCCTTAGTATTCAGGTCCATCAGTTTTATTATTTGTATTATTAAGTATTTGGTGTCATTTTGGGTCATTTTGGAATGGAAAAAGTCTGATATCCCTGTATAGTTAATGTATTCTTCAAATGCCGTTATCTTATGCTATTGATGTTTTGTTCCCCATCAGATTTGCCAGTGAAGTAGCAGGAGTAGATGACTTAGGTACAACAGGCAGGGGAGGTGACATGCAGGTACATGTATGCTACGGCACTTGGGAATTAAAAGAAGATTTTTATATATTTTTTTTTTAAACTGTAATTATTACATGTGAATGTGTTTCTGCGATGTAATCTTTGATATTATTAGCAAATATAATGCTTCATATCTAGATGAGATAAATTAAAAAATACTGTATCATATATACTGTAAAGGCACCAAAACAAAACTAAAAACCAAACTAAAAAAACAACTTTCACTCACTTTTGTTGTTGTTGTAGAATATTGATTTCATGTCTAAATTTGTACCGCATTTATTATAAAAATGGTAATCATCTCATGTGTTGAATAATATGACACCTTGAATTAACCGCAGTAATTGGACCTATTATTATTATTACAATCAAGATAACATGTAACATGTAATGCTTCTGTTTTTTCAATAGGTTGGAACTTACATTGAGAAAATGTTTGCATCAGAGCTCTCTGGAAACGTCATAGGTATGTCAACAAACATGGCCTAGCTTTCTCAAACCACTGTAATCTTCTATTGTCATTAGTCTTCATGAATTTTGAGCTTATTCACATTACTTCATACTGGTATTTGATACGAGGACAAATTTGCTTGTATGGTCATAAGAAATGTTTGAGATATTTATTATGCAAAATATGAAATAGGAGCAGAAACTAAAATTTGAATAAATGTTTTCCAAAACCTTTGATGACTGATCATGAAAAAATGCTTGATTTTAATCTAAATGTACTTAAAACTGTTGGTGTGCTAAAATAGAAGCTTCATATTTTCAATAACAAGTAATGTTCAACCTCACGGTATACAAAAGTATTTACTTGTCCCTTTATGTCATCACAATGTACTTTTCGTTAGTGAAATGTAAGATTGGTTCAAAGTACTTTGGAATTGTGTATTGTCATTGGCAGATTTGTGTCCTGTGGGGGCGCTAACATCCAAGCCCTATGCCTTCACCGCACGCTCCTGGGAGACGCGTAAGATCGAGTCAGTTGATGTATTGGATGCAGTAGGTAGCAACATCGTCGTCAACACCAGAGCAGGAGAGGTCATGAGGATTCTACCTAGAATGAATGAGGTAAGGTCACATTAAGGTCAAGGGTCATCCAAGGTCAACTAGGGTCATCTTGTACAGGGATTAGGTTGTGTTAAATATGATGAGATGTACATTAATTGATGTGGTGGGTAGCAACATCGTCAACACCTGAGCAGGAGAGATCATTAAGATTACACGGTCATGCTAGGTTAAGGGTCATCCAAGGTCAACTAGGGTCATCTTGTATAGGGATTAGGTTGTGTTAAATATGCTGGCTGACCTGTTTAATGCAGAGTGAATAACTTCAGGAATCATTTCTAGACCATCTTCCATAACATTAACAAAAAATTGACAGCTTGTACCCTTGCTGAATGGGGTCCAGATAAAAATATGTCGTCAGGTCTAATGTCTTTCTTTTTCATTACGTGATATTGAGGATGGTTGTATTATTCACTATTTCAACATAAAAAAAAATTAAGTTAATTAATGTGCTGAAATGAGTATAACATTTTCTGTTTCCACCTCAAGTACGATACTGAACAGTCTACATGCCATTTTGTTGTTGCAGGAAATCAATGAAGAATGGCTGTCTGATAAGAGTCGCTTTGCCTACGATGGTCTGAAGAGGCAGAGATTGACCGTCCCATTGGTGAAGAATGAAGAAGGCAACCTCGCACCCACAGACTGGGAGGAAGCACTTACCAGAGTTGCTGCTCAGGTAAACACTGCAGTCTGTATTCTACTAAAATTTAAACCCGACACGTGGTTTCGTTGCGTAAGGATTAACTGAATTAGTAGAACACAGACCTTTCAAAGTATCAAAGGCAATAGAACGGTTGACAAGCATATTTAAATTTATGGATGTTTTTTCCTGGGGACCTAGTGATGAGTTATTCAATTAACCTTTCATCAATGAATGAAGTACAATAGCTGGACTCCAGTCTGCATACGGTATGTGTTGCTTTGTCGGGAAAGCCTCAGACATAGCTTTCAGGCTGTTTAAAAAGTATGCATGAAATATGAATATGTTAGTAAACCGGTCAATTCCATGCTAATGTAATGACTCAAAAGCACTTCTTTTTCCTCTAACATATATAATTTCACTTTATCAGAAATATATAAGATTACCAAACAAGAAAAGATGGAGTATTGCAATTAGCCATTAGTTGAACAAGTGTACATGACAGATCCATAGCTGCCATATATCATTATAACTTATAAAAAACACAGAGCTCACACTATGGACTATGAATGAGAAAGAAAAAGGGACATGTTAATTCTTGTTGTACCAATTGAGTGATATATTGTTTGCCATATCCACTTGCAGATCTCAGAAGTTGAAGGAAATCAAATTGCAGCCATTGCTGGTGGTCTAGTAGATGCAGAGGTAAGATCTTTGTGACATTCCTTGACTTTTTCGCAGTAAAACAGTCATTAAAGAAGTGTTAGAAAATCCAACATCTCCAAGCATGTATATCCAACGTGTTTGTCTAGGTGCAGATCATCGTGGGCTAGGTATGAAAAGGCATTCATACAAAGTGACCTTGCCCTAAAATGGACAAATTTGAAGTCTGGGGAAAGAGAATTTATTACTGCTTATGATTCACTGTATTTTATATTTCTCTCTTTCAACCAGGCATTGGTATCACTGAAAGATCTATTGAATAGACTTGGCTCTGAGTTTAATCATTTGAATGACTTTAAATGAATAGACCACTGTTTCTGATTCAGCACACTCCCATATCATTTTCATCCAAATAGGCATGAGAAGTGCTGAAAGATTTCTTCAATAGACTTGACTCTGAGTGTAACCAATCCCATGGCTTTGAATGAAACTTCTGATTTACTTTATTTCCTATTCCTCTCTTTCAAACAGTCATTGGTATCACTGAAAGATCTACTGAATGGACTCGGCTCCGAAGGACTATGCACAGAAGAAAATTTCCCAATGGACGCTGCAGGGTATGTGTATTTTATAATCCTTAACTCTGTTAGCAAAGAAGGAAACAGACTTTGTTGAATAATAATCCTTTCATGGTTTTTCCACTCATTTTAAGAGATACATGCTTGAGATTATTTTGTTTTGGGAGGTCCAATCAAAGATCTTCAGTAAACTTTAAATGTAAACACTGACAGGACCTCCAAACTACAATGGTTTTTGTTGATCTGGGGAGTGTTTCTTAAAGACTAAGATTGACTTTCAGTTGGACTTAACTGTCTTGGCAAAGGACATAAGTGTCGCGGTGGGACTCGAACCGCGTACCCTGTGATCGACAGTCCGGGGACATATCCACTCGACCACGACACCTCTGAATGAAAAAAATATTATCTAAAGCTTGTAATTGAGATATCAATGGTGAGAGCAACCAGTGGCATGAGCGGCCTGCTAAAGTTAAGTCCAACTTAAAGTCGATCTTAGTCTTTGTCTTCAGTATTGTAATTGTTGCCTTCAATTTTTGTTTCCAGAACGGATCTGCGTTCAAACTACCTGCTGAACACAAGCATTGCAGGAGTAGAGGAAGCAGACCTGATCCTGCTCGTGGGAACCAACCCCCGGTACGAGGCGCCTCTCTTCAACGCTCGCATCCGCAAGAGCTGGGTTCATAACGACCTCCAGGTGGCCTCCATCGGCCAACAGGTTGATCTTACTTACGACTATGAGGTATGGCAACGCCAACTCTACAATTTAATAATAATAATAAATAATCTGGATTTGCATAGGGCTCGATACGAAATACTGTCTCTTAGCGCTTTACAGATATATCCATGAACATATGTTTACAACCTTTTAACAATGTTTTTCTCTCAAGTCTCGTGAACATACTAATAACATGTTTATTTAATTCTGACCTTTAGCTTGCTGGGCAAAGGTTACTTGATATTGTTTTCCATTGCTGAAATGCACTAGATATGCATTTAATAGGAACATGTCTATTTTGTAATGGGTAGGTTATTCCTTCAAGTGATTTTGGATGATTTCAGATGTTACATCTCATTTTCTTAACTGCACTCTTTGTATGATACAAAGTAAAGTCTTATGATTGAAAAATATGGAAGTTTCATAAAGAATGAGACTATATTTTGTCCAAAAGGAGGCGCTATGGCTCAGTGGTAGAGCATTGGTCTCTTAACCGGGAGGTCTCGGGTTGGTAAGGCATTAATCCTCATTACCAAGTCCCTTGGAGAAGACTTAAAGCTGTTGGTCCCCTGGTTGCTTACTTACAAGCATACACATGCTTTTGTATCAGTCAGGTAAAACAAACAAACAAACATACATACATGTAAACTATCTACATTACTCCGATTCTGTTGATAATAATGTTGGTGCATCCTCCTCCTCTCCAGCATATTGGGGACTCCACAGCGGTCCTGAAGCAGCTTGCCGACGGCTCACACCCCTTCTCCAAGACTCTCAAGGCCGCCAAGAACCCCATGATCGTCGTGGGTAGCGGAGCCTTCCAGCGAGCTGATGGTGCTGCCATCCATGCCTCCTTGACATCCCTCGCCCAGGCCGTCAGGGCCAGCAGTCAGGCGCCACAGGAGTGGAGGGTGCTGAACGTCCTGCAGAGGGTTAGTTCCTTTGGTCAAGGATTGAAGGTCAAGGGGTTCAGGGTCCAGAGCCAAATAACCCTCTCAAATTCACAGTGACCTGTACACTTAGATACCTATTCCATTAACTTTATTCACTATATATCAATTCAAAACCTTATACTTTAATATTATTTTGGTCTAAATTGATATTAACTCATTACCTACTAAAACTGGGTAGCTCCTGTATAGATGCTTACAGGAATAAGAGAATTCTGTCAATGGATTAATACATTGTTTGTCCCATCCGTTGACAGAAGTAGGTTAAGAGTTTATGGTAAGTGTACGGTGAAACCTGCTGTAGCAGCCAGCTATATAGAAAGACCACATTTTCCCCCCTTGAAAAGCATTCTCATTGAAACTCGTCCTAAAGTAAAGTTACAGAACTACCTGCTCATAAAGCCAGCATATTTTACCTCCCTTGAGCGGTCTTGTGTATAGGTTTCACTGTATTGGTGTTAGTAGCATGTCTTCAACCAACTTCTGGAGAACTACCCACTACGGGAATTAATCCTGTTCATGTATTCTTCACCTGAATCAATCCAAACGTCTCACAATCTCTGCTAAGCACTGCCCTGTAGAAATCCTCTAAAAATCATTTTTTAGAGGATTTTTGTTGTTGTGTCTCTTGTTACATCACAACCATTACAATACCAAACCTAGGAGCCCTTGCAAATATTAGCAGCACTGGCTTTCACATACAAAAACCTCACATTCTTTCTCTACAGGCATTGTTGGAGCTTGTCTGACATAGCAATGGATATTATATTCTAAAATCATTTTCTGTATTATTTGCATTCCTGACAGGTTGCAAGTCAAGTAGCTGCATTAGACATTGGCTACAAGGCTGGCGTAGACCACATCCGAGAGTCCAAGCCCAAGGTCCTCTTCCTTCTGGGAGCCGACGAGGGAACCATCACGAGGGACGATCTGCCTCAGGATTGCTTCATCGTCTACCAAGGTATGCACACCTAACTCCTCCATCGCACCAACGACACCCTACACCAGACAGACACCAGATCGACACTAGACTGACACCAGGGCCTCGTCTTATAAAGAGTTACCATTAATCAGAACTTATTTGTGATTGATATCAATCGCAATTATGTACATTGGAGATAAGAGACTGCAAACTTGCGATTGATTGGAGGACTTGCCATTAATTTGGATCAATTGGAACTCTTTATAGGACAGGGCCCAGACCGATACCAGACCTACACCAGACCAAACAAAGCATTAAATTACCGCAAATTGCCCCAAATCTATTGGTTGGGAGTCCGTTGGAAGGTGGTCTGGTAATGTGACTGCGGTATTATAAGTTAATGATGCAAATTTGTACTTGCACTGTTAAACCAGGGATGCCAGTTTTTTGTTATGCCTTCGTCTAACTGCTGGCTCGGTCACAACTCAGTTTACGGTTGGTTAGAATATATGAAGAGAGATTTGCAAACGATTTCTGGTACAGGTGTTACAGTTTGTTTTGACTGGAGATGCCAAGGTAGTAGGTTTTGAGCCAAAACCTTAATGTCCTTTACAATACATTAACCTGCATTTGCCTCTCTCCACCCTGGTGTTGAGAAGAACCTGGTAGGGAAGAATTCATTGAATTCTGTTCATACCGTTATCGGTAGTGTTGGCTAGAGCTGATATTAATATCATCATCTTCATCATCATCTTTATATTTAACTACAATAATTATTCATTTTGTCTACAGGTCATCATGGCGATGCAGGAGCTTCCATGGCTGATGTAGTGTTACCGGGAGCTGCATACACAGAGAAAACTGCCACATACGTCAATACAGAGGGACGTGCCCAACAAACAAGGTTGGCATATGTTGGTTGTCATCATCCCCCCCCTCCCATCCCCATCATTACCATTACCATCAATGAATCTTCCATCGTCACATTTTTTAAAAAATGCCCAAATTTTCGTTTGCTACCAATCGATGCCCTGAAGTACTGTCCATGCAAGATGATTAATGAGAAAAATCGTAGATGTTGTACATGTTTGTAAACTTTGTTGACCCCTTGGGGTAAATCTCCAATCCTATTATTAATATCATTGTCACTGTCAGCATTACTATAAACATTATGGTTATCACCACCACCATCATCATCATCATCATCATCATCATCTTAATCCTCATCATAGTCATCCTTTTGCTCCTCCTCCTCCTCTTCTTCCTGCTTGTCATAATCAACATTTTTATCAGCACATTTCAGTTTACTAGATATGATATTGATATAAGCCACTTCCAAGATAGCACTTGTACAAACGACCCCAGATATCCACAGATCTTTTACACATGGACACATCCCTCTTTGTGCTTTTTAAAATAATCACTGTCAAAGTAATGGGAGGTGCTTCATGAATACCTTTTGTTTGCCTCTTGTAAAGAATACTTCCACCTATGTATCCTAGAATGTACCGTCAGTGTATAAATGAATAATGATTACATAACTTTAATGAACATATATCCTTCATGAGCACAAATCCAGCAGTCGTCTCATGGGTCTTACAGTTTGGTACAAATGACCTTTATATGCCCATGGGCAGATAGTATATCCTTATTGGATGATTGGAGTTAATAGCTTACTGGGCCCCTGTCTTATGAAGAGATAAGATTGATTTAAATCAATAAATCAATTGCAAGACCTCTAATCGATCGCTAGTATACAGTCCTCTGTCTCCTATGTACAATGTTGCGATTGATATCGATCGCAAATAAGTTGCAATCAATATCAACTCTTTTAAAGACGAGGCCCAGATCACTGCATAGCCCAAACCTAAGTTAACATTCTATCCAATTGATCTCTTCCGACCACCAGACTGGCCGTGTCTCCACCAGGATTCGCTCGCGAGGACTGGATGATCATCAGAGCTCTCTCAGAGGTGAGAATAAACTATCAATAAATGTTGATGTATTCCTTTAACCCTTTCACGACAGAACTTCCACATTTTGTGGTTCTGCTCAAAAACCTTTGATTCAGAGCCCTAAAAGAAATGTCAGATGAGTAGAAGGGTAAAAATGTATGCACACACTGCAAACATTTTTGTCTCATGACTATATTGTGCTTGATGCCAGGTTTTTTAAAAAGGAAAATAAGCTTCAAAATTCTTAAATTGGCAACATGTAGAGAGATTTAAAATCATTGTTTTTCTGTCAAAATTAGAAATGTTTTCAACTTTTTGACACCATTTAAAAATACAATTACAATGTAGCAATGAAAGAAAAATATAATTGTTGCCTTTTTGAAAAGCAAAATGTGATCAATTAAGCCCTAAATATAAATCCTGTTCTGAAAGGGTTAAAATGATAATTGCACTTATTTTGGACATAAGGTACTGAGCAATGTTTTTTAAGTCACTAGTTCTGTGGGTCCAAGTTAACATGTGTAAATAAATGATGGATGGAATGATGTTAAATTAAGTTATAGCTACGTGCAGCAAAGGCTCTTAGGTGTTCTTATTTATCTGTGTTATAAGAAACAGAAATGTGGAGTGAGAGACGTTTTTGAGGCAGTTTATCAAACCATAGGAGTTCACAGTTTCATTTTTTACAGTAATCAGCTTTTCATCCTCAAATTGGCAACAATTGATCTTTTTTCAACTTCTTCATAATTCCGTCCCTATTTTCACAAAGTGACGGTAGTGAATGAAAATCGCATACAATTTGCATGCGGATTTTCCTCACTACCGTCACTTCGTGAAAACAGGAACGATTTGAAGGAAACAAAATGGAAATGTTCATAAAATGATCCAATGTGAAAGAAAATTGCATTAATTAACCAATTTTTGACTTGAAAATAGTGAACTTATATTTTTACAATGTGTTGCCAATTTAGAGACCTTAATGACGAGTTACAATATCATCGCCCTTATTCGAGTACAGCACAACGTTCTACATTGGAAATGTTAAAACGTGACTGAAAGGTTATACTGTACAGCTATGGGGGATCGAAGGAGACCTAATGATTAATAATAATTATAATAATAAACTTGTTTACCCAGGGTAGCCCTCATCAGTATTAACACTGTTAACCATGAGGGCCCCGCAATCATGTTAATGATTTCCATTCCTCTTGTATTGTATGCGTGCAGGTAGCAGGAAACCAGCTTGGATACGATGATATTGATGCAATCATATTAATGATTTCCATTCCTCTTGTATTGTATGCGTACAGGTCACAGGAAACCAGCTTGGCTATGATGATATCGATGGAGTAAGGCAGAGGTTAGCTGACGTCTCACCAAACCTCGTACGCTATGGAGACCTGGAGGAGGCTAACTTCTTTGAACAGTCCAGTATCCTGGGCAAGGTAGGATTTCTTGCCTTTGGTTTTTTTTATAATTTGTAAAAATGCACTGCTAATCTAACAAAAAGTCTCATGGTTCGGTTGAAGCTCATTAGGGTAGCTTAGCAAAATGTGGCACACAAAGACACGTCCCGAAAGCATAATTGTTCTAAATCACAATTAATACTAGTAGAACCTCAATTAGGCTTAATGTAAGCTCAATTTTCATGCAGATATATATTTAAAAAATGAACTTTTAATTCACAAGCCTCACCAACTGTTGCGCTTTTTGTGCCACTAAATTTTGCTGAGCTACCTATAGGTGCATTTTGTCAGCATTTAGATAAATGTGGCTGGTTTAGTTTTATAGATTTAGAGAATTATGTCTTTTGTCTTTTCCTAATAAAGTATTCTTCCTTCCAGGAAATTAAAATATTTGGATGCACAAAATCCTGTAAAAAGTAATTGAGGGCAGTTTTTCAAGGGAAACAAAATCATATAAGATGAAAAATTGCTAGTATTTTTATAAAATTGACAATTGTACATATCAAATCTAATTTCATTGATTCTTTTAGCTAAACCCAGCAATTTCACTTCATAGTCCCATGTAATGATTCTTGTGTTGCTCTTTGTTTCCACAGACTGTGAGCACCAAACTATCCGAGCAGGCACTGCAAGTGAAGCAGACCACCCTAGATAAGTTCTACATGACAGACTCCATCAGCAGGGCTTCCCAGACGATGGCCAAGTGTGTGCAGGCCGCGGCACATGCGCAGCAGAAATAAATAGCGCCCTCATCGGAGAAACTGTGATATTTATAATGCAACATGTATGTACAGAGAAGTTGTTATTGAATGGATGTTTTTACGAAGATGGAGTAAGGAGCAGAGCCCAATCTATGTCCATGACTGGTTGTTTGTGTTCAAGGAGTTGCTTGTAACACTTTGGGGAAGAACCACAACATTTTAGCATGCAAGAAACTTTCACAAATGTGCTTTTGGTCCAGATTGCAGAAGTTTAATTGAGCACAACAATGGAAATGGATGCAAATTTGCATTTCTGAAAAAAATTGCATGTTTCCAAAAGTGTCAGATTTTCACGGTATTATGGACATACTAATGATTTAGGTCCAAATGTGATGCCAATAAGGACTTTTTTCCATTGAAATCATGAGAAACTGGCGAGTCTCTGCTAGTTCAATCATTTATATTCTTGAAACCCTTCAAGGCTTCTTGTTGCTAGCCCTCAATAGTTGTTTTTCATAATCTGTAGAAGATCAAACCAACATAATTAACCATTATTCTGTAGAGGGGGATAAAAAATAACTAACGAACTACAGTACAGATTTAATTTCTTGCAAGTAGTCACTTTGTGTGATTAATGAATGAGAATATCTCTTCAGAAGTCGGGCTCAATTTCTGACAAACAAGGAATGTATCTTACACGCATGAATTGTGATATATTTATTGTTGATGTTGTTAGACAATGTTCATAATAACTATGATGAAAGTATCGATTATATAGGGGCATTAACAACAAAATGTACCATAGCACTTACAAAAACCCAGAATGTGAAGAGAAACCTAGAACTCATAAAATAGGTAAAACATATTACATGTGTAATTACAGAAGGAGGAAGAGATCTCATGCAAACACATCATTAAATATTATTGGCAAGGATTGAGAGATTGCATTTCATCAAAATTTATTGAATTCATTGATTCATTTTTACAAATCTTTTCTCCATGATCTTGAACTTTTAATCAAATTACATATTAGTCAGGGATTGTTCGAAACTTGTGTAAATACAGAGTTAATTGTACAAAACAAAAGTCTTGAAACTTTGCAGTGAGCTGCTACGTCATTTCAGTCTCTGTGATGTCATAGAAAATAAACAAATGTTCATCATTATGATGAAGTTACAAAAAAAAACAATGAATTGGATTGTCTGAGAGGATATTATTCCCATTTTGTCCATCCGTAAAGAGATATATTGGATTGTGGCACTGAATGTAATAAAAGTTTCTTGATGAAAACTGATTTTGCGGTGTTCCGTATTCTTTATTCTATCGCCGGCTTTTATCAAAATCAAGACATAATGCATCAAATGCGATGTTAGTTATTGCTGGATATGATCATGCACATCGTTTCTGTTCTTAGTTAGCTGAATACTATGAACATTTTCCAATGCAACGTAACCGTCTTCCTTTTTGAAAAGACCAGTGCATAAAACTTCTCCAATTATTAAGCCCCATAGGTTTCCCATATTTGATTATTTATGTATTTGGGAAGTTCTTTTTTGTAAACTCCCTCTTTCTTTTGTTTGTCATCTTTTCATCACCAAAGCCAGTGGTTCAAAACACTGTGATCTTTCAATTTTCAGTGAGCAAATTAGTATGGGACGATGAAAATGTTATGGGGCCATGAAAAACTACTTTTTAGATTCTCTGGGCGAAGTTCTCTTTGAGCCAGTCATTAATCTTTTGTTTATTATCTTTCTTCTGAGGGGTGGCCAAGTCGTTCTTCTTGGCTTTCTTGTCATTCTTAGCAGGATGATTATTGTTGTTGTTTGCTGCTGCTTCTTCTTCATCTCTGTAAAAGAAAACAAGAGTGATTGAGTGAGAATGAGATAGAGACAGAATAGGGGGAAAGAAAGGGAGAGAAAGGGAGAGAGACAGGGGAAAGGTGGAAGGAAGGGAGAGAGGCAGAAAATGGGAAGGAAGGGAGAGAGAGAGACAGAGAAAAAGGAGTGAGAGAGAGAGAGAGAAAAGGAGGAAGGAAGGGAGAGAGGAAGAAAATGGGAAAGGAAGGGAAAGAGAGACAGAGAAAGGGGGAAAGGAAGTGAGAGAGGCAGAGGAAATGGGGAAGGAAGGGAGAGAGAGAAAACAGGAGGGTGATTTAGAGACAGAAAGTGGGAAGGAAGGCAGAGAGAGACAGAGGGGGAAGGAAGGGAGAGAGAGAAAAGGGAGGAGGACGAGGGAGAGAGAAAAGGACGGAGAATGAGTGAGAGAAAGAGAGAGAGATTGTGTGTGTGAGAGAGAAAGAAAGAGAGAGAGAAGTGGGTGTATGGCTCGTGGATCTACCACAGATTCTCTTACTTGCAATTGAGATATATTATTTTACGTATATTTTTTAAGTATCTCTATCAATAAAATGAGATATACATGTAATTCTATTTGTTTTGTTCAAAAAGTACTTCTTTGTGAGAAAAACAGAGAGCTGCAACTCGTACGGGGAAAACGAGTGACCAATGTGGGTTGCACTGATAACAACTACTTGTACAGTTAACAACTAGATTCATACCCCTTGTAAATTTGATGACTTTTGTGTTTTTCATAACTCAAGAATGAAAGGTGGACTAGTTGAATTAGGGCCATTGTTGCATACTTTTAGATGTAAGTTTTAATATGTCACATTCTCAAGAAACATAAATTGAGACAAATTGGTTTTCACATGCATAAATAATTACAAGGCTTGGTAAGGGTATGAATCATTTAGTTGTTAACTGTACATTTATTCATCAGTTTATCTCTCTTTATCTGATAACGTAAACTGTTTTAAAGCCCCTCTGCACTGATTTTAGCTACTTGTGCCCTCTACATGTATATAGCAGCTAATGCCTAATCGGTGACCATTGGTTTCCCATGATCCTCTCTTTCTTATGTTAATTGAGAGCTGATTTGATGAGATAACCACCTGTCAGTGACCATGCAGGAAGGTCTAATCACTCCTGGCCAAACTAGTGCAGGGGGGCTTTAATATCAGTGTAGACTTGTCCCTTTAAAGCACTCACCCTGCCTCTTCATCCACCGTATCGAGGGAGGAATCGATGGTGTTGAGACGTTCTTGGGCGATCTCGGCCATACGAGCTCCCATCTCGGGGTAATCTTTCAAAACTAAACAAGACGAAGAGGTAGAAAAAAATAATCAAAATGAGCACGAGAACAAAACAGTGATCCAGATGGGCAATGTTCCTATTAGGTTATTTGGTGAATCTTCCTCAAAATGGTTTCTACGAATAAACAGGAATATGGGGGATAAAAATTGTAATTGCTGTTTTAAAAATGGCAAGTGTGAATAAGCAGGTTTATGTCATTATTACTATTATTATTACTATCATCATCACCACTACTACCATCACCAACCTCATCAGCATCAGCATTATAATTAGCATTGCTGTTATTACTATTATTCATATAACCTTCACCATCATCATCATTGTCTTCATCATCCTCATTATTATCTACAGCATCTTTGGTCACCACCATCATTAAGATCCTCCTATTTTTCCTCCGTCATCATATCATTATGACTGACACCTGTCATCATATTGTTATCGCTGATTGGGTGCCACTTAATTTGCCGGGAAGATGAAAAATGGACTTAATCATTTACTGACATTAAACTGAGCACACTGCACTCCCTCGAACGGCCAAAGTTTGCCAATTTTCGTTCGAGCTGGCGTCGGTTTGGCCATTCAATGGTCTGTTCTTGTTCGTGTGTCTTTGGTGTGTTTTGGGTATGCATGGGGTATGACCCGTTGGTCTCTGCTCCTGGTCCTGGGCCTGGGCCCCGTATTACAATGATTTTCAATCTATTGCTAATTTAAAACGACGATTCTGATTGGTTAATGGACAGCCTTTTGAAAAATATGTCCATGCAACGAGGATCTTGTTTGGCCATTGCCAATGCCATTGCCATTTTGCGATTCATTGTAACTTTTGTGTTACGAGGCCCTTGTCTTATTACCTTTGTGGAAGTCTTCTCTACTGAGACAGAATACATCACACGTCGTGGCTGCGATGATGGATGCGACTCGGCGTTCGTCAATCAACAGCGATATCTCTGCAATGATGATACAACGGATGAAACAAAAAAAGAGCAAGATAAAAAGGATAGCACCCGATTTCTTTTTAAACACGACTCTAGATATAAAATGGCATATATTAAAGATTATCAACACTAGTGTGGCTAGGAGGGATTAGACCACACAGCGAGGTCACTGACAGGTGGCTATCTCATCAACTCAGCTCTCTAATAACATAAGAAATAGAGGATCATGGGGGACCAACAGGCACCGATTGGGGAAGTTTTCTATATAGAGGGAGCAAGTAGGACAGTGGGGCTTTAAGGATTATAGTAATGAGCGTACATGGCGTGTAATGGGGTGCTGAAGGCCCCGGCCAAGACTTTTAAAATAACTAATATTTGTGCGATCATGATGTGGCCGGCGGACATTCTGCACACCCCCCCCCCCCCCTCCCGACGAGAATGTTAAGGAAATGTCGTATATGATTGTATCCTGGTGACTGTAACTTTTTATTTCTAGCATCGGGAGTTTCCCGAATTTGTATTGTTTTCCAAACCTACAATATATATATTTCAACGAAGAAATAAAAATTGTTTGATACTCGAATAAGAGGTGTCAGCCCCACCCCCTTCCCCCTCGTAAAAATGTGCCTGCATGCAGTGTATTATATTGACGAAAATAAATATATATTGGTAAATGTTAGTCTAAACAAATAACCTATACATCAAATAAAGATAAAAAGGATACTGGAACTATGGTAGAGATACAGATCATGGAAATATGAGAGAGATACAGATGGAACTATGACAGAGAAACAGAGCAATCTATTCCTCACCGCCGAAATGATCCCCGTCGCTAAGGCGGTTGACTATGCGGTCATCCACGAGTACTTCCACCGTGCCGTGCTCGATGAAGTACATGGCCCCGCCCAAGCTACCCGCCTTTATTATGACGTCACCTTCAAGGAACACTTCGAAGCTCAGCTTCTCGATGACGTCATAAGCGAAGTCGGGGTCAGCCTCGTTGAGGAAGTTGACCTTTGTTATGAAGTTGTTGAAGTGGTGCTGTAGAATCTCCTGAATTATGCATGAGGATTGTCAAAAGGAGGATTGTCAAAAGGAGGAAAATTTGATCGAAATATGATTCGGAATCAAGTAAAACCCTAGTCAAATGTTGCTTATGATGGCGGTCCCCTGCACTTTCCACAGATAGTTAGGATAATACTTTAAATTCATAATAATATATTATCGAAATATTAAGTTCGCTATTATATGTTTATATGTAAATCATATTTTGGCATGAAGTTTTTATTGTTTGCATATTTGTATAATATCTTATGTTTACATTGTTCTTTGTTATTGTGCTATTGTATTTTGGAAAGCGCAGAAACCAATTCAAATCAAAATGGCGTCATGTACATTCTATTTTCAGATGAAGATTACTTTCCGTGACTCTCACTCAGCATATTTTGATAAGATGTCATCTCCAAGTACAAGCATATTTAAATGTTTAGATTTTAAAAACAACAATACCCCGTCATAATTCAGATGTAGGCCTATATGAAATATAGATTTCATTGATTCTAGAAAAACTGATAAGCTTGATTTAAAAAAATTCCAATTCACTTTTAGCTTGAAAGGAAATGCTAATTCTGTTGCTTTGTGAATCAATATCATTAATCAACCATTGAACCAATCAGTCGATAAATCGATCGAAATCAATCAATGATTAACCAATGGCCAACCAAAATAAACTATCAATCAATCATTTCTTACCCTTCTAATTGGATGAGATTGTTCCCCGAGGATTGTCTTCTCATTAAAGTATTTTCTTTGGTATCTGTGTTCGTAGTAACTCAAGACTTGACGCTGAGTCTTCAACCAACCAACCAATCAATCAATCAATCAATCAATCAATTAGTCAATCAATCAGTCAGTCAGCCAATCTATCTACCAATCAATCCGTCTAACTATCAATCGATTATTCAATCAATCATTTCTTACCCTTCTAATTGGATGAGATTGTTCCCCGAGGATTGTCTTCTCATTAAAGTATTTTCTTTGGTATCTGTGTTCGTAATAACTCAATACCCGACGCTGAGTATTCATAGGAACCTTGCGATATCGGAGATATTCCTTCACTTGATTTAGCTGCAAAGAGGATGAATGACATTATGGTTAATAACAATGTTCAACTGTTAATTGGTAGAATTATAAAAAATTATGCACATAAGCACTTAAGAAAGGAGGTAATTTGTACCAAATTGTAAAACCCAATGAAACCCGGGTAGCGTCTAGCGATACCGTCATAAGTCTGAGTTTGCAGACATCCAAATGTGATGTCCAATTAGAACCGTCCCAGTTTTGTGAGACGCTGCCGTCATAAACATTTTCTTATCATATTCATTTGATGCAACAACGGCGCATTTACAGGTGATGGTATAATTTTTAAAGTGGAAACCAAAGCTTTTTGTTGTTACATGTTGTTACATGAGAAAATCTTGATTTTCGGAAAGAGTTTTGTGAGCAAACGATGATTGGTCGAGCTTGTTACGCCTCCAATTTGTTTAACAATGAAATAAACGGGGAAAAAAGAGTTCATAGCGTAAATTAAAGAAAACAAATCTCAAATGCCGTAACCGAAACGACGTCAAGTATGACAACTTAATAGTGATCAAGTCGATGTCGAGCTTGACAGCCAATTCGATATCGAATACGACAACCGAAGAGAAAACAAAATCTCAATCTAGCTACGTCATCGATATCGTGAACGACAGCCATCCCGATGACATTAAGGACACACCCTTTAAAGAACTTTGTTTTACATCCTTTCAATTTTAAAATAGACATAGATATTGTTTTCTTACTCAAAATAAATTCGCAAACCGAAATCGATTTGATAATGACAATTGTTTTTTGGTCTATTTATCAAATGATTATTTTTTGTAATAAGTATTATGTATGATAATAAAGATTTGAATTTGATTTATTTATTTAAAGGCCATCTGTACTAGTTCGGCCAGAAGGGATTAGACCACCCAGCGAGGTCACTGACATTTGGCTATTTCATTAACTCAGCTCTCAATTAACATAAGAAAAAGAGGATCATGGGGACCAACAGGCACCGATTAGGGAAGTTTTCTATATAGAGGGAGCAAGTATAGCTACAAGCAGTACAGCTTTAAGAGAGAAATGACTAACAGAATAAAAAGTTATATTTGAACAAATATTATGTGTATTATTGATGTTCCATTGTTTTGCTAAATTGTAAGTAAAATTATGTTATTGTTTGAATATTAAATAAACATCTTATTAGAGACAAAGAGAGAAAAAAAATTAAGGACACACCCTCTCGTTGTAGAGCCTTCCCGAGGCGTCGACCGCGAGGAGGAGGGTTGACATGGTGCCGATGAAGAGGGCGTAGAAGGTTGCTCCTAGCATGATACTGAATGTGGTCATCCACATCTCCGTTACGTTCATGGGCGGGAAGCGACCGAACCCGATACTAATCATGTGGCAGATGGCCTTAAAGAAAGACCAGGAGTACTGCTCCAGCTTGCCTGCGTTCTGATCAGGGGGAAGAAAACAATTTTCAAATGAAAAAAAGTAGAACAAATATTTACATGTACAATTAATAACTAAATGTTCATATACAGTAGGCTTATACGGTTGCACCATGTGAGAGAGAGAGAGGGATTGGGGAGTGCTGAAAAGGACTGTCGGTAATCTTTCTTTGAGCTTATAGTTCTAAAGAGAACTATAGCGCCGGTTGGAGAGGATGAGTAGTAGGAGGAGCTCGATGTTTCCAACAGTTTGACTATCCGTCGTCAGGAATGGGGAATAGCTGGCGTGCGTATAAAATGATTATTCACACCCTTTGTATTTAAGTTGTTTTTGTAACACGATAATGTAAGGTGGACTGGTTGGATAAGGGCCTTTGTTGAATACTTTTAGATTCAATTTTTAATGCGTCACATTTTTAAGATCATAAATCATGAACAAATCGATTTCTCACATACTTAACAAATTACAAACCTTGATAATGGTGTGAACTATTTAGTTGTTAACTGTATCTAAAGCAAACATAATGATATACAAATTCAACATTACCTTGGAAGGCAGCAAAATGAGAGAATTTTGTGCATTTTTTTATTTTTTCTTCGAAGTTTCAGGGTATTGATTACCAAAGTAATGGAAATTGTAAAATCTCGGGTATCACCAAATCAACATAATATTAGAAAAAGACTGTTGGATTAAATATAGCTTGGATCAAGAAAGATCTTGTTTTCAATATTGTCTATTCTCATTTTTCGTAATAATAGTTATCGTATGGCACCCTCAAAATTAACCAAATTTCTTGGACTTGCGCTTTTGACGGACCAGAGACTAGACCTCTAATTAGACCAATTTACAAGTTCTTGGTCCTTACCTCAAGACCGTTGATGACCACCCAGCAGTCCGGTGGAAAGTTCTGGAAGAACGGGACCAGGAACTGAATACAACCGTTCCAGTGCATCAGAAGCAACATGACAAAGACTAAATGAACAATCCTTATCACTGCCGTCTCGACATTCAACAGCTGTTGTACAATTAGAAGGAAAAAAGGTGTAATAATTTTGTCTTTCTGAATAATATATTTCAATCAATACATAGGCCTAATGTACGTTTACATAGATCTAAATATTAAGTCGTTTGCATTTTACACAATTATATAGACGTTTAAGAATATATAACATACATAATTGAACCAAAACATATAGTCATACTTATGCATAGTATTACCCGGAGTGTACATTGAATATGCACACAATGCCATAATGACAATTTTCAGCGAGAGCCTTCCGAAATCATCATTATCTGTGGCATACTTGTTTTATTCTATTATCTTTTTTCTTCATATTATGAACACAATCACCAAAATATATAGTCATGTGGATGCATAGAATCTATAACACCGCGTAATCAAAATTGACTTTTCAGCTAGAGTCTACTCTGTCAAATCCCCTCTGTGGAATACCAGTTTTTATTTTACTATCTTTTATCTAGGCCTCGTGTAATAATGTTGGTATGGGTTCGTCTGCTAAAATACGCCGAAAGCAGTGTGCGCAAAATAAGGACTATAATTCTGCCAACAACAAGCAAAGTCCAAAATCTCACATAAATTTTCCAATGATGATTCGAGTTTTGCCGATAGAAATTTTGAACAGAGGAAGGGGAGGAAAGGGTGTCACACCCCTTTTTAGGGGGGGGGGGCTTTGTTTTTTCTGGGTTACTATATTCATACCTCTTCAAGACGATGTATATACCTCAGGAGCCTGGACAGTCGAAGCAATCGCAACAGACTGAGAACCTTGGTCAATCTGAGAAAGAAAAAAATATCATAAAAAAGATATATATATTCGGCTTCTTTATTGGATAAAGTCGAAGTAACAAAGAAAACAATCATAAAGTTAGATTTGTTGGACTCATTTGGTTACAATGTGATTCTTCCATCCCCCTATACAAACAAAAATTAAAGTGACTGCCACGTAGTAACACATTTTTTATCCATACAAGACGAATTATAAATATATCTTTCATCCTCATGATATTGAACATTTTTGTCCTTATTCATTACACCAAATACAGGGACCCTGTTTCGCAACTTTTCTGAGAAATGTTGTTCCTTTATGGGTATCATGATACAATAAAGGCGTTGTTTCCATTACGAGCGAAGCCATCTGTTGAAAGCTAGAAGGGCTTTACACAGAGTTAATGCCCTTCTGGCTCTGGACAGATTATCATATTTCAAATGTATAATTGAATTCAAATTGATTACAAACATTTAACTCACAATAAGAGTAGTTTTTACAGAGGACTTACTTGTCCTTTGCAAGAAATGTTATCTCTTTCTCTTTTTATATCACTTAAATTAGTTATGAATTCATTATTTCAGTGTTCAGATTCAGATATTATGTTAACAAGTCTTTTGTGTAAGAATATGATGTCTCTATGTTTATGTACTGCACCGAATGTTTGTTTCTTAACTGAAACTAGAAATAAACGAATGAATGGAGGAAGAAATACAAGCTTCTAAATTACTATTAAAAATATACTGTAATATTACATTTGATTTGATTTTGATTTGATTTGATTTGATTTGATTTGATTTATTTTCCACTCAAATATCCACAAATTAAATGAAATATATAAACCATACAGTAATACAATATATAATAGAACAAATGAATTATACAAGTAACGAAATACTGACAAGTATGTTCGTAATCAAATAAGTTTACAGAGTACATTTAAGTTTGAGAATCAGACAAAATATTTTATATTACTTGATTTAACTGATTTAACTGAGAGGGGAAAAAATGATTGTACATTAAAGGAATGAGATTCTTTTCAGAACCCCACAATCATAATGTCTGGGTTGATTAAAAAGTTGAAGGAGAAGGTTGAAGTTTGTGTGGGTGAATCTCTTTCTAACATAAAAATGATGACTTCATATAACGTTTGGTGATTGTTATTGCCTATCGTGAATACAAATAAATATTTGTCTTACCTGAGAATTCTTAGAGCGAGTGCAGTATGTGATGTAAAGTCTACTTGTCCAAGGAACAGGTAGATGTAGTCGAAAGGGAATGATGATATTAAATCGAGGAAAAACCAACCACGGAGATAGCTGAATATTATCTTTGTTCGGTCCAGAGTCACCTGGAGTGGAAGAAGGAAAACAAAGTTGAGAGGGAATGGGAGACAGATAAGAGAGAGGGTGAGAGAAAGAGAAAGGGTGAGAGAGAGAGAGAGAGAGAGAGAGAGAGGGTGAACAAGGGGGGGGGGGGGGGGGTGAAGTGAGTGAGAGAAGGTGAAGAAGAGTTTACGGAGCTTTCTTTATCACCAACAATTTGTAAGACTCGCCAACAGCACCAACACCAACACCATCATTATCATCATAATCAGCACCGTTATCATCATATCATCATATCTTTTTGATCACCATCATCACGTTATTCACCATCCTTTGCCTCGATCATAATCATTGTCGTCGTCATCATCATCCTCCCATCACCATTACATTGTCGATGTAATCACAAGCATCATCATCATCGTCATCTCAATCATAGCATTTTCATCACCATTATCAATCTCATTTCAGCTTCACATCATCGTCGTCGTCGTCGTCGTCGTCATTGTTTTCTTACCGTGTCCTCTGCGTTCTCAATGACCCCGGTGAAGAAGTTGAGTGTGATGTCGAGCATGAACAGGGTGTCGGAGATGCAGTTAATAATGATCCAGTACATGGTGATGTCGTCGCTGAAGAAAGCGACGTTGACGGGGAGAAGGACGAGGGTAATGAGCAGGAGGAATACCATGAATAGATCCCAGTACCATCTGGTGATGAAAAACCGCAGTGAGGAACAAGATGAGTCACAAGATCAAAACGGCATTAATAATAATAATAATAATATTCAGCTTTTATATAGCGCTTAATACAAATTAATTTCTCTAAGCGCTTTTACAGATATACTATTACCTCGGTCATTTGATTCAATACTTGCCCGCACACACCATGTAATTGGATACCACTCATTATCTCCGCACAAAGAAAGCGCTTCATTTTGGTGTCTTCTTTCCTCCTCCAAAGAACTTTGCTAAGGGGGCAAAATATCTAACGATCTCTGACAAAAGAGCAAGCGAAAAATAATACCACTTATAATGATTTAAAAAAAAACGAATAAATAAATTAATTTAAAACATGGAAAAAGGTGACTGTACCTGACCAAACATTAATTTGATGTTCTTATGATAAATCTTATAACTATAAAAGCAGTAAATAAATTGAATTTCATGAGGATATACATTTCGACAAGAAGCCTTATTCATCTTTGTTTAGTGAGAGACGTAATGTGCATTCAGACACTGGTTTATATAAAAGGCGCTGGTCTTACGAGATGGATGAAAATACTGAAGAGAAAACGATCGACTCTCTCGAAGAGTGCTTTAGGAGTGTTGGTTTATATATCGCATTGTCTTCTTTTCCCGTTCCTTAATTCTACCTCCCTTTCCCTTTTTGAGATATCATCCATTCTTTCTCCCCTATATAAAAAAAGAAATCCTGGGGGTTTGTGCCCCGCCACCCCTAATAGCCCCTTTTTTATGCCACTGTTGAAAGGTGTATTGCTACGCTCCGTTACATTCGCATGTTCCGGAGCATGCCTGGAATTCGGCCGTGTATACAAAGCGAGGTCTCAATTCAGTCATCGACTCTCCCGCCGTTAGCCCGATCAAAGCTACGAGAATATTTGGCTGAAAAAAGGGCGGCTAAACATTTTCAGTCGACCTCAAACCGAAGGAAAACATAATTGCATGGAACGCAGGGGGGGGGGGGCAGAGGGGAAGGTTTTGGCAAAACAAATCTGTCATCGAGTACACGGAAGAAAAGAAAAACCAATCAACCAACCGAAAACAAACACACAACACAGAAGAAGAAACTGGAATGAAATATGTCCATGTGTCCCTCTCCCTAGCCCGAACTCAGAATTAATTTAAACCAAAAAGGCACCTGAAAATGGGACAACCCTTTCCCCCTTTCTTTCATGCTTGTCAAATTGTTTTCTTTTCAGACTGTTGCCGCCCCTTTCCTGGTTTGCAAAATAATACTGGATGTGCCACTGATTGCAATCATAGTTATATCAGATTTAGCTATATAATTATTATTTGAAGATATGATTAATAAATATTGCTCCATAGAAGGGTCAAAGACAAAAAATATCGAAAGCCATGTGTGACCTACGACTAGTGTCATTGCTATCCGTAGTAGTTTCATGTTGCTATACTCGGGTCGGGGGGGGGGGGACGACAGGGGAGCGGGAGTTGGAGAGGGGAGGGGAGTGTGAGGGACACGGGGGTACTTGTCCAAAATGGAGTGACAGAAAAAATAGAAAAAGAAAGGACTGAAGAGAAAGAGAGAGAGGGAGAGGGGCCATGTAGAAATAACATAATACTACATCCTCCAAAACCCTCCCCCTCTCTCTCTCAATGGACTTGACATGTTCTCTTGCAATCCACCCACCAAAGGCTTGGTTTCCTCCTAGTGACACTAGAGAGTACCGAAGCTGTGACATCATAAACATCTATTTTTAGAATTTCTCAATTTGAACGTCATTTTCCGAAAGAGCATCAAAAATAGTGGCCAAGTGTCGAAAACCATTTGAATATTTTAAGTATTGGCTGAGATATGACCATCTGAATACATAAGAGTTCATTGGGAAAATCACTGTTATTTTGTTCCGGTTCATAACATTACGAACCAGAGCAAAAAAACAGCGATTTTAAATTCCCATTGAAATCTATTTATTCGGATGGTCATATCTCAGCCAATGCTTAACATATGCGATTCATTTGCACATTATTTTTGATGCTCTTTCGGAAAATAAAGTTCAAATTTGGAAACGCTAAAAAATAGTTTTTGATGACGTCACACTTGACCACTCTATAGCGCCCCTTTAATGGATGGACCCAGGTTATGCCACTATGGACATCACTACATATAGGCGCTTTTTCTAGGGGCTGTTGCTCGACAGGATTCATCGGTATTCAATCATGTGGAGTTAGATACGGGAGTGATTGCACTCTTAACAGAAGAAATTGTGAGTTTAGTTAATAGATGACTAAGAAGATGTGTTGAGAAGAAATCAAGAGAGCCAGCTGAGAAGGGTAGACTGAATTAATGAGAAAACTAATTGAGAGTGAAAGCGGAGAAATAAGCGGGAAATAAAAAGAAAAAGAAGGGAGAGAGAGAGAGAGAGAGAGAGAAAGAGAGAGAGAGAGAGAGAGAGAGGGGGGGGGGGGACTGGATAGAGCTTTTTGGTCAAAAAAACAAAAAGAAAGAGAGAGAGAGACTATTGAGAGAGTACAAGACAGGGAAAAGGGCAGAAAAAGAGAGAATAAAAAGCGAGTGAGAGGGTAAAAGAGAAAAAAAACCGGAGAAATATGACAAAGAAACTTAGAGGAGAGAGAGAGAGAGAGAGAGAGAGAGAGAGAGAGATACACATAGTAGAGGTGTCGTGGTCGAGTGGATAGCCTATGTCGCCGGACTGTGGATCACGATCCGCGATTCAAGTCCCCCCGCGGCACTAATGTCCTTTGGCAAGACATTGATCTACGATTGCCACTCTCCACCCAGGTGTTACATGGGAACCCGAAAGTTGATGTGATTAGATGAGAAAGTGTGCGCTTGTAAAAATGACAACTATACAGTACATGAACACCTTACATAACCTGACAACTGAACAGAAAACTTGGATAATTCAGTTCTAATTCGTCTTTATTTTGGAAAGTATAAAGCCATCAACCTTTACCTGAAATTGCTGAAAGGGTGGATGACAAAACGTCGTATGTTCTGCTGCCTCTCTTGCTCATCTTTGAGCGCCTTTTCGCTGCGATAAATCTTCTTCACAAAGTCACTCCCTGAGGCGAGAAACAAGGACTCCTTGGTGGGCATCGAATTCCGACGCCCCGCCCCGCCCAGGTCAACAACGAGACTATCTCGATGACCGGGCGATTTATCTGTCATCGCTGACGGAACTGTTAGGAACGAAAACATAATCATTAAAATGAAATTATTCCATTTTACAAAAAGAATTGGATAATATTAATGGTATAGACCAGTTTTGAAAACGCCCCCCCCCCCCTCTCAAAAAAAAAGGAAATGGAAGCTCTCATTACCAATCATGTGAAAGAATATGTTTTGGCTAATACGTGATGATACAAATTTTCGGAAAATCTATTCGGACTGGGTAGATTATCGCGTAGTCTCATGTACATCTTTATGTGTACAGTGCTTGTACCTTTACCAAGACTGGGACAAATTTCTTATCATTTTGATGATTCCAGAACTTATGAGGCCTTATATGCTAGATGATCAACCTTTTTCTGATCGATTCCACAACGTTTCTTTCACAATGCAATCGCATGACCAGGACTGGTACCTTTAACGTTAACAATAATGATAACATCATCGATGATGATGCTGAAGATAGCGATGATGATAATGATCATGATCATGGATCGCGGAGGTGTCGTGGTCTAGTGGAGACGTCACCAGACTGTGGATCACACTGTTCGTGGTTCGAGTCCCGCCGCTACAAAAGGTAATCCTGCCGACAACGCCATTTGTAGTGAATCCAGAAAATGAGGACGCAGGCTCAAGTGTATCCAGTTCAAAGTCATTCTGCTTTATTTAATTCCAGGCAAAAAAGACTCTTTCTACTGGCAGTCTTGCCACTCCCTACAGGGTCAACACATATCTACAGGCTCTAGTCTATCTACCCCGTGCCAATACACAAGGCCCACTTTTATCCTTTCTTCTGGCATGCTAATCCAGACATATTAGAACATGAGTACAACACATTTGCATCACATCAATAAGAGGTAAAGCAATCTACCACCTGATTCAGGGGCGGATCTAGCTTTTTGCTAAGGGGGGGGGTTGACCAAAATAATGACGATGCGGAGCATCGTCCACGAGCCGCGAAGCGGCGAGCCGATTTTTTTGGGGGTGTTTATTTGAACCCCGTAAGTGATGTTTTCCTGGCATCTATTAACACAATGGAGACCATAAAAAGCAGTGCATGATAACGTCTTTTTAAATCAAGTAACAGTTTAATACATAGTTATATCCAGAGTTATCATGTGTTTGGTTAAGTTACCAGATGAGTTGAATATCTTCTCACAATATTTGCACTTGAAAGGGTTTCTCTCCAGCGTGCGTTCTTTTTTCTTTCTTTTTTTCTTTCTTTTTTTCTTTTTTTTCCCTTTTTTTTTTTTTTTTTTTTTTTGGGGGGGGGGGGCCGCCCAAGGGGGGGGGTTGCAACCCCCCCAACCCCCCCCTGGATCCGCCACTGTGATTGCATACCTGGTTGCTATGTCAGGCAACCAGATATGCAAGTCAGGCAGACATAAAACAAAAGCTACAAAGTCATTTTATTACAATCTACTTCCTCACTGTGCAATAATATCCTAATCATAATATATCTGCCACGGGCGACTGAGCACCAGGGTCTTTAAAAAGGGTTGTCAAAATCGCCTTGTACCAAGTTTGGGCTGATGGAACGAATGTAGGTCAGGCCATATGCATGTGCTTCTTTGGTCTTAAATCCATTTAAAAGTTAAATTATGCCCCGTACTTCAGTGCATATTAAAATGATGCAATGAATCTTTCACAGAGCCTTGTTTCAATCCATGGAATAAACTTTAATTATTTTTAACAGCCTACTAACTTCTTGTCTCATGATATCTAAGTTCTCTCTGCTCACATCTCCGCTGCGCCATTTCACACGCGTAATGAGCATATTGGCCCAAATTCACAAAGGAGGTTTAAATTTAACCATCCCTCTGAGCAGGCTAAAAATATGACGTCATATATAATATATTATATTATGACGCTGTTAAACCATGTGTTTAAACAAGGGATGCTAATAGAGTCAAGATTGTAATCATCATATTAAAGAAAATATTATAGATTTTGCTGGAAATAAGCATTTCCTTGAGTTAGAGTTGATATTAACACCTTTTCTTTTCATTTACCCAATAGCGAATGTAAATAAGTGTGCAATATTATTGTTTTTTTGGAACTAATACACACATAATAGCTTTTGACTCAAATGCATTGCTTCAGCCCAGACTTGGTACAAGAGGATTTTGACAATACTGCTTGAAAAGCCTGCTGCTCAGTCATCCGTGGCAGCACAATTATGAATATGGCATAATTAGACAAGGTATTTTTTTTATTAGAAGCTACCAAAGGGTACACTTTTTTATACGCACTGTATAGAAATCAAGATATTCAATAATGGAGAAATGATTCTACATTGCCTCGGGTTTTTCCCGGAAGTTTACTTTATGTTCAGGCTATACTAGGAAAATAACATGATTAAGAATGTAGTAAAGTATACAGTTTCACTTTACAGCGGAAATAGGATGTTTTTATTGCAGGAAATGTGCTGCCTGGATTAAAATATTCTTGTTTTGCTCTCAAACCGAAACTGGAGCATTCATCAAAGATGGTTTTAACAGGGCGTAACAATTAATGTGCTTTCTTGAAGCTCTTCTCGCAGAGGTGTAGATTGATTCTTCTCCAAACCAAGTCAGTCGTTATTGCCAGATTCTCTGAGTCCGCAGAATAACCTCGTTTGAATACTTGATTGATCTTTCTTATAGTTAAGGTAAATATAAAAGTGAAGTGATCTCTGACAATACAAAAATTGAAATGAACAACTGATTCTTATTTTCTTACGATTGTTTCTTACTGTGCTGTATGTGAATGAAAAAATGACGTGGAATTACATAAGGGTTAAAGACTTTTAAATTTATCGCAACATACCTCTACTCAAAATCATTGTATTATCGCGCACTGCTGTGTAGATTTACAGTGTACACAGTAATTCTTCATTAGCTCAATATCTTTTTTTTTTAATTACGAATTTCTTTCTAGCCAATAAGCTCACTTTTTCTTCAACAATTTCGAGTGATGTACTTGGGGATTACTTTCACGAACTGATAACATAGAATTGTTCTACTTATGTACGTATAACTCTGGACGGTCTAGACGCCAACAAAAAAATAAAACAAGAAGTCTTTCAAACGGGCTGTTATTTCTTATAAAAACAATTAAAACAAATCTCATTACTATATTTGCCCCCTCCCCCTGGTCAGAACTAAACGGACTCGCAGTGAACGACGAGGGCTCTGTATTTACAGTGCAGTATTCGCCTTTTTCGAAGTATTTGCCTGTTCTCTGTTTTCCGAAGTTGTCTCTGACTTTTTAAAGTGTAATTCTGGTTAAATAAACGGTACCGGGTAAGTTGCTCGTTTGCAGAGATATTCGAGTTCACAAATGAAACCAACCCTTAAAATGTGCCCTTTATTGACTAAAGACCCAACAGCCATTACCATGGCTCTAAACTTTAATACTATTCCATAGCATATAATTCAAGCTTTAGTGAGAAAAATAATCATCATGACAATTAAGTGAAGAATACGTACGTTACTAAACATGAGTAGAGTGTATTTAGGTTAGAGTTATGGTCAATGATAGGCCTGTTGTCAGGATTATAATTGTTAAAGGTAATACAAAGTTTTAGTATGGGGTCATGAATTTGGTTCAAAGTAACATATTGCAAGCATATGCGATCCATCAATATTCAATAATCATTGTCGCGGTTGAAATCAAGTCTAAAGTTATGAAATTGTAATAATAAACTCTTTATGTTGTATAGCTCCCTCTCACGGTCAAGATATTAATTAAGCTATAAAACAATGTTTCTTGACTAATATCGACCGATGAGCTATTCCCGTTTGGAAATTAAATATCACAACTACATATTCTGAGATTTTCATGGTCGCAGCTACCATTGTTCGGCCGTAGGCGCTATTTGAAATTTATCAAAATTTACAGGGAGCACCGGTAATTTTTTTAATTCAATTTTTCTCGAAAGCAGAAGTTTTTTAGGGGCTAAATTTTCTAGTGCTTATAATTCGTCACAGGGGCATAAAAATATATCAAAATGGTAAAGAATCACTATCCAACCAATTTCCAAAATTTCCCAAAACTTTGTATTACCTTTAATGTGAAAGTTGGCTTTTTAAAATATTTTTTATTGACTTTTATTTTTTTTCAGACTCAGCAGGAATCAGTTATTATGGCATTCACACGACGAGCACCTCTTCTACGCTGTCTGCCATTGGTTGTAGCGTGTATTCTAACACCAACCCTCATACAAACCATACACCAAGATGCCATGTTTACTCCTTCTATGCTATGTCATTATGATGCCGAGCAGAAGAAAGCTGATTGCTATTATCGTGGGCTGGACTCCATCCCTCAGAATCTTCCAGGCGATATTAAAGAACTGGACGTCGGGTCCAACAATATCACTTTCATCTTGAGTTCTTCTTTCAAGAGATACCCTTTGATCCAGGTCTTGGATCTTTCCTCAAACGACATCAGAATGATAGAATCTGCATCTTTTTACCCTCTAAAGGAATTAAATCACTTAATACTATCATTCAACCCTAATATTGTTCTCCCAGCTACAGACCTGTTCAGGTGGTCTAAGAACCTGTCCATTCTGGAAATGTTTGATGCGAATCTGAAGCTGCTTCCAAACGACACTCTGAAATGGAGCCCGTCTGTAGATTCTTTAAACCTTAACTTCAACAAACTCACTTTCGTTGACATGGGCCTTTGTGGCAGAGCAACGAATGTTGGCTTGGCTTTCAATGAAATCGAGCAGCTCACGGCAGAATCTGTCATCTTCGGATGTCAGAGTGATTATGTGGATCTGAGAGGGAATCCTATTAAATCAGTGGACCCAAACGTAATTGCATCCTTGCATGCCCGATCACTGGTCCTTGGACAATACCCTTTGACACTTGAGATACTGAAGGATACTTTTATCGGGATCTGTCGCTCTGAAATAGTGGAGCTCACTATAATTCATGCCAATTTCACAGTCTTGCCACGAGATGTCTTTGGTCTCTTGCGTAATTGCTCTCTTTCCGTGCTTCGATTCACCGACCAAAAGGTACAATCCCTCTCTCTATACGTGTTCTCAAACTTGACAAGACTCGTGGAACTTGATCTAACGTTCAACGAAATCGTCACTGTTGAACCAGTATTCTTTCAAGGCATGCGGGAGCTAAAAGTTTTGAACTTGAACTTCAATAAAGTAAAATACATAAACCCCAATTCCGACGTATGGGCACTGGACTTGAATGAGTTGCACTTACGCGGCAATTCTTTGACAGAAATCTCAGAATTCGCATTTTTTGGTTTGCGAAATCTAACGCTGTTAGATCTGAGCTTGAACAAAGCCCTTATTGTCCTGGAAATCACGTCGTTTTCGAAACTGATGGGAATTAAAACCATCGACTTGAACTATTGCAGTTTTTCCAAATTTCAACCGGTAGCCCCGAACTTAACGACCCTTTTCCTGAATAACATGAACAGCCCAATGGTCTTCATGCAAGCTGGAATAGCCTTCAAAGATTCACAAGGCCTTGTAGATTTGGAAATCCGTGAATCGGGGCTGTTGATATTTAATCTCTTGGATAAAACCCTGAATGTCTCTCTTTTTGACGGATTGTCAAATCTTACTACTTTGGATCTGAGCCACAATTATTTAGATCTTTACTTTCCAGATGACTTTCCAGCTAGGATCTTCGAACAACTCTCTGCTCTCCAGACCCTTAGTTTAGAAGACTGTCATATTTCATGCCTTCATCCTTTAGCTTTTACGGGATTGACATCGCTTCGGGTGCTAAATTTACGTGGAAACGTAATTCAACAACTTAACTTTGATATATTCAAAATGTTAGATCAAGTGACAATTATCGATCTTGATGACAACCTTTTGGCATACCTCGATGAACAACTATTCTCGAACAATCCTAGACTGAATACACTTTTGCTATCAAACAATAAATTAACCCGTCTCAACCAAACGACATTTGAACCGATAGAATCTTCGCTTCTATCTTTCGATCTTTCATTGAACCCTATCGAGTGTAACTGCAACCTACGATGGTTCCGCGATTGGATAAGTGGACATATTGACGTCATTGACGAGAACAGAACCGTCTGTTCACCAGCCTCTTTAGAGCCCCTTCGCGGGAAACCTTTCCTTGATTTTGATCCTAATAAACTTTGTGGACTTAACATTGTTCTTGTATGCTTGACTCCTCTCGCCGGCATTTTCTTGGTTGTCATCGTCGCGGTCCTTTATCACAACCGATGGCAGTTGAAGTACAAATTCTTTCTCTTGAAACTAATGGTAATTGGATATAGAGAGATGCGAGACGCCCGGGACCACAACGACTACGAGTTTGACTTGAATATCATATTCTACGATGACGACGAAGAATGGGTTCGTCAACAACTCCAACCAGCTCTGGAAGAACGGCTTCCGCAGTTCCAGAGGAATGTCTTTGGTGATCAAGACCTCGTCATTGGTATGCACTATCTGGACGCCGTCGACTACGTGGTGAGCCATAGTTACAAAACCATCATTCTACTCAGCAGAGCCGCCGTGCACGATCGTTGGTTCATGCTCAAATTCCGCATCGCCATGGACCATGTGAGCGACACCCAGACCGAATTCGTAGTCGTGGTCTTTCTCGAAGACATCCCTGACGAGGAGATACCATTCTTAGCAAGGTTATATTTAAGTGACGGCAGACCCTACCAACATTGGACCGAAGACGTAAGAGATCACGATTTTTTCTGGAATGCACTGGTGAAAAATCTCACCATTAATCTCAGGACCAATGACTTGATCCCCAACGAGTAGTAACGGTCTGACTTATTTTCGGGCAGACCCATGCTAGTTTGTTCCAAACATTACTGTACACATCTCAGATTTTAGTATATCTGATTCATGTATTAAGCTAATAGCCCTATTAGAGCTTGGATCAATCTAGATATGAAGTGGCAAACACATCTGATACCGGTTGATGGAAGAAATAGCAAAAATGACTCTTAATGTTACTCTAGACCAGGGATCCCCCAAAGTCTGGACCGCGGGGCATGTTAATCCGGACCGTCGGGAAGGCTCTTTTTTTGTTTATCCTTAAGAAGACAGGGGGGCAGAATCAACTCTGCCCCTATCTTTTTGGTACCAAATGTATATAATTTCGACCAAAGGGTACCATGGGTACTGCGTAGTGTCAAAAATCACCGCGCTGCCAAAATGAAAATTTTCCCATAAATTATGTACTGTACACCATGCGGAATTGTCACTTCGCGGATATGTGAATAGTTAATTAGTAATCATTCAAAAGTCATTCGAGACATAGATATGAAATTTCATGAACTTATTCTGTATGAGATCCTCTATCAAAATGCCAAGTTTAATAATTTTTCGTAATTCCATGGCTGAGATTCCAAGGGGGCGACCCCCCCTTCTTGGCTGAGAGCTCATGTTTTGATTGAGTTTTGGAAATAAAATTATTTGAATTGAATTGAATTGTGTACCAAAATAACCCGGTCTTTTAAGGATTAAACTGTAACAATTCCCCTTAGATCAGTTATAGACATACATGTAAACACAAGCCTCATTTTCTTCAGTATACAAGTGCCATTACTGTATATATTAGGAGTAGATTGTCTGAACATTTGCATTAATGCCTTCGTCTTTCAATCACTCCATTTGTGCCAATGTTTAGGCAGATTATTGCTAGAAAACAGTGCTACTTTTCCCACTGATATACCCTACAGGTATACCAGAACTCCCACTTGACTGTCTTAATTCTTGAAATGAAGGTACGTGTAAAGACACGAATGTATGATATCACAAATCCATATTTATGGAAATAATTGATTAAGTAGACTAAATCTGCCCATTGTTTCGGACCTTTCAGCTTTCATAGAATCACATCTGGAAAGTCAAGGAAAAAGTTTGAGAACCCCTGCTCTAGACCTATGAAGATTTGGTAGATTAAACTTAAGTTTGGATATTAATCTTGGTATTATCTGTATGAACGTTTAAGCATATCAAATAATGTTGGATTATGAAGTGATGATGAAAAAAATGATTTTGTTTCATATTAAAAAAAATAAAAAAGGGGAAGTTATATTAAATAGTTACATCTCCATGATAGAATGGTGTGCTCGGATGTGAATGTGGATGCGGGTGTGTGGGTGTTGGTGTGGATGTGCCACGAGTGCAGGATGGGGGTGGGGGGGGGGGGGGTCAGAACACTTAACAAAAGTAAAGCTGTCACGTTTTCCGTTGGTAGTTTATGAAAAATAAGCATCAAATAGCACTAACCATAATTAGCATAATTATGTCCTATATAATATTGTTCGAAATTAGTCTTAAAAGATTTATGAAATATTGCTTGTAAACTTCTTCAAATACTATTTGAAATCATCAACTGCCCCGCATAACAATCTGTCCGGATACACGACGTGCTGATATATAATTTGTTTCTCTTTCCATATCAGGATATACATGTTGATAAAGGAAATGCTAGATTATGCCCTTTTGTTTTCCCCCTTAAAGAGAAGGTCGGAGTTTTGGGAAGAGGTGAAAAATAATTTGTGAGCGTTATCATCCTTATTATGCAAGTGTGGAAGAACATCAGTTAAGACGTGTTCCCTCAAAAGCTTGGCTCTTCAAATGCCTTCATATTCTAAATATGCATGTAATATCGTAAAAATCGGGGGGGGGGGGGGGCCAGCTTTTTACGCCACGTGTTCGTGTAGTCCCATATACATCTTTCTGTGCAAGTGTTTGTAACTTTACCAAGACTTGGCCATATTTCTTATCATTTTGATGATTCCAGAACCTATACAATACACACAAATTCTTATATGCTAGATGATCAACCTTTTAAGATCGATTCCACACCGTTTCTTTCACAATGCAATCGCATGACCAGAACTCAACTTCATCTTTAAGTCCGGTAATACCTACAATTTAAAAAAGAAAGAAATCGCAAGGAAATCGTTAGGTTACAGACAGGATGAATTTACAGCCTTATCCGTTATCAGATTTTCTCAAACTCTCACTGACCTGAGCCCATATCCATGAAAACCTGTTAAACATGTTAAAGATAAACTTGAGTTCTGGTAAAAAAAAGAAAATGAATTCTCACAGAATTTAACGAAACTTACACTGAATGTTCAAGATTACAAATAAATGTCATGTGCTGAACAATTTTGAAAGAAAATGTATACTGGCTGAGTAATGAGCATAGAAAGACAAGGAAATCAGGGTAGTACTAGCCCCGACACCATGCGTGTTGTCCCATATGCATCTTTCTATGTAAGTGATTGTTACTTTACCAAGACTCTGCCAAATTTATGATGATTTTGATGACTCCAGAACCTTGCATTACCCACCGTTACTTACATGCTATATGATCAACTTTTCTGATCCATTCCACACCATTTCTTTCGCAATGCAATCGCATTACCAGAACTCAAGTTTATCTTTAAGTTGACAACTAGGCTTATATCTTAATTTAAAAGAAGAAAAAAATGTCATTCTATCTTCTTTTCCATGGGCCATTATTTACACTTATTCAACGAGTGCGTACAAACAAAAGTGTACCGAACTTTGGTAGCTCCTAATTTAAAAGTCATAACCAAATAAACCGATATGACTTTGAAATTTATTTAATGATGAGATGTAACTTGTTTCCTGTCAATGCTACCATATTTATAATATTTCTGCCATGGGTGACTGGCCGGTATTCAATTCAATACTTAAGTTTGAAATATGAGTATTTTACTTAGTCTTCGGCTTAGATAAAATACTTTGCCAATTTCGGTATTCAGTTAAAACTTTTGGCTAAGTATTTTACCCTAAATTTAAGACAGCTCCCTACCTATACCGGCATGCAAGTCAGGCAGACATCAAACACAAGCTACAAAGTCATTTCATTACAATGAACAATAATGATACTACTACTACATTACTACTACTACTACTTCTACAACTAATACTAATAATATCAATAATATTAGTAATGATTATTATATCAATAGTTTTACAGTTTATCACTAAGCATAGGACGTGGACGTGGACGTGGGCACCCCCTCCCCCGCCAGAGAATCAAGGACAGTAAACCATAGACGAACTCTTGATATTTCATCGGAATTTGCCAAATTGGGCGTTAACATTAAATGGAAGAACCCCATACCCTGTCCATATACAATGTAAAGTCAAACGTCATAATATCAAGGTACGAGTGTGCGCTATGCAAACGCGTGTGATTCACGTTTATTATGACATCATAATATGTCGGCCAAACTCGCAGTTAGGCATTATGTGTCCTAGAAACAGAGTAATCTTGTTTAGCTTTCTCTGAATCTGCAGATACTTAGGGTTTCGCGAAACATTCTCCTCCGACGACACGCAACTCCAATCCAACACCAACATTGTGACACTATGCTATATCTATCCCTCCAAAATCCTAATCCTCAAGCCCACTAAACTAACCCTACAGTTCTGACAAAAACTATTATGAAGAGAAATCTTAACAATTTAGGTTTTTTATCCTAGACATTCCTAATTCCGACAAAATCAATGATGACTGATAAATATGGACACCAAATTGAAAGTATTGGGTAAAATTGCGCAACATTTAATATAGGATAAGTTTGTCTCCGACCAAATTAGACAAGTACATGCCTATAATTTAAGTCATTTTTTACTCAATATTTGTCAAGGATGATCTTGATTGTGCGAAACCTTACCCAAAATGTATCCAATAGTGTTTACAATGTTTGCAGTGTTTGCAGTGTTTGCAGTGTAGCGCACCATCGACTTTCCGATATAGAGAGTACAACCGCATATTGTTAGGAGCGCTCCGATATTGACTGATATACGACTCTTATCAAATCAGAAGACAGACTATGAGATATGTTACATGTTCTAATTATTAGTAACAAGGCAACTGCTACCATGACAAGTCTGCACTAAGAAGACGACATGCACCTCTGCATGTATTGAATATTATTACCGTCTGTTAAGCGCCAAAAGGGTGTTACATTCGATAGCGTCCTTCAAGCTCTCAACAGCCGATATGATTTGTCTCCATACAACTATGCAAGCAGGCGCGTACACAGGGGTGGGGGTGGGGGGGGGGGGGGTTGGGGGTTGAACCCCCCCCCCTTTGGTATTTTTTATGTGTGTATTTTGGAGGAGAACCCCCCCCCCCCTTTGGGATTTTTTTGTTTTTTGTTTTTGTTTTAAATAAAAAAAAATAAAAAAAATATATAAATTATACCAATGGCTGACCTAAAAAAAAGTAGACCTTACCCCCCCAACGGAGCAAAATGTCAAATTTCCAAATTTCGAGACCCCCCCCCCCAAAAAAAAAAAAAAAGTGTCCTCTTATCCCCCTCCCCCCCCCCCCCCCGCTTATTCAGCGGCTGGCTGAGTCGTTGTGAAATTTTCGGCCCGATTTAAAAATGTTAACCGCCCCCCCCCTGAAAAAAAATCCTGCGTACGCGCCTGTATGCAAGTATCTCTGTAATCTCTATATTGAATCTTATGATCGGCTGTTGAGTGTTAAAATGGCATTAGCACGCATCATTGGTAACAGCCTTCTGGCTCTCAAAATAAAGCATGTCATGATTCTCCAAATCTTCAAATGGAAATATGACAATGGTTTCGAAATATTTTGACAAAATCATGCTTAGGCGACATTTCCACCGGGCTTCTTAAAGGGCCTATCTCACTGAGCGGCGAATGCTTGCGAACGTAGCGAATTTGGGGTTTCGCCAGAGTTTGTAAAATGTTGTAAAAGGTTGCAAGAAAGATCGCAAACAGTTTTTCTTGTCGCAAAGAAATTTTGAACATGATCAAAATTTCTTTGCGAATTTATTTTTCCGCAGACAGTTGCAGGCGTTTGCAAAACAGTCGTTAGCGTTTGCAAAACAGTCGTAAGCCTTTGCAAATGGTTGTTAAACGATTTTGCTCTTTGTTTTCGTCAGTTCTCTGTGTTTCGCCAAAGCTAGCGACCACGTTACCATATGGTTCCTTTATAAAATCGACCCATTGAGTACCAGTAGTTAGCAAAAGGTCTCAAACGTTCACAAATAGTGGCAAAGGATTGGCAAATAGTTGCTAATCTTCGCAAAAGTTGTCGCTAACATTTGTTTACAGTCGCTAATAGTCGCCAACTGCCTTTCGCAAACACTTTCGGAGACATTCGCTCAAATGTTGCTAATTGTCGCTAAACGTCACTTAATGTCGCTGATTTTCGCCAACATTCGTCAGAAAAGTTGGCGAATCCAAATTCGCAACGTTCGCAAGCATTCGCTGCTCAGTGAGATAGGCCCTTAAGACGTCAAATAACTTAATGCAGGGTTAGAGTAAGGTTTGCTATTGGGTTTTATGTAGGTTAAGGGCTTAATAAGGATTTGTGTATAGTATCATAGGCCCATGGCAGACGCTAGAAGGTCTCTTAGTATAGGAACTTGACAGAGAAGCATTAGTCATAATAATAACCCTACAAAGCAACGATGGTGCCTTTAAGTACACGAGGAGCGACACTGATTAATATATTCCCTAAGGCCCTATCTCACTGAGCGGCGAATGTTTGCGAACGTAGCGAATTTGGGGTTTCGCCAGGGTTCGTAAAAGGTTGCATAAGGTATGTAAAAGGTTGCAAGAAAGTTCGCACACAGTTTCCATTGTCGCAAACCGTTTTTAATGTCGCAAAGAAATTTTGAACATCAAAAAAGGTTAACCCTGATTTTCGCCAACATTCGTCAGAAAAGTAGCCTTCGCTGCTCAGTGAGATAGGGCCTTACGGAAAGCTCTGCAGACAAACTATATCATATACCTTATCAAGTACATAGCTTTGCATTGTACCTATGATATTACTGAACACGACATACTGATTTTCCAAGTTTCCTATCCTCTGAATTTTCCAGTAGCGTCCACAAACTAAACATAAAATCTTCATTAAACACATAAAACACTATCGCTGATAATTATTTTAACTCGATGATAATTTCAGTACCTTTAATAGTTTTGCTCAGACAAATCTGCTTTGTATTACGAATACGTTATTGTAATATTCGCTCATTCAAAAAGGCGATTACCAGGGCTATAGAAATTACCTTAAGTTTATTTTTCGAAAGTTTTTGCGATCGTCTTAT